GTCTCTTATAGTAGGTGTTATTCAGGGTTTTTTTATTTATAATTTTTTGGTTTATGTTATGGAAATGCTATGTTTATTCTTGTTAATTTATTTTTGTTTCTGAAGTATTTGTTTCTTTGTTTTTTTTAATTTGTAATTGTGAAAGCACTTTCTCCGTTAGTATATTTTGTATAAGGCCTTGAGTCAGTGGAAGTACAATATGTCTATATTGAAATCGGGTTTGGATGGTTAGTGTGAAAGTTTTTTTTTTTAGTCTGTAATTTTTTGTATTATTTTATATTGGCTCATTTTTCTGCTATATTTCTTTGTTCGTTCGATGTTTATGAAATCCCATTTTGATTATACAAAGCCGTGTCCGTTTTTAACCCTTCATAATTGTAGGTATTAATCGATAGCTCTCTCAAATGTTGGCAAAACCCTTCTATTGTTGGAATTTTGGTTTAATGATAGAGGGTGCTTCAATTGAAAGAGGGTGATTGAAATTTTGGTCGGACCAACCTTTTGTTTATACTCATTCCTTTGGTCTCTAATTGAATCATTTTTTTCATCCTCCTTCTCTTTCTTCTTTGGGTGATTCAGTGACATTTAATTTCGGTATTGTCCACTCTTGCGGTGCTTTTTTCCAGAATCGGTGCCGGTCTAACCCCTCTCTATGATTTCTTAGATATACCTATATTTCTCATCATATTGGGGAGCTGATTGGTTTCCCAGCTTTGGAATTGGTTTTTTGGGTGTACCGTTGGTGACTCCAATTTGGTGTGGATTTCAAGGATCCTTTTTGGGATTGGTAGAAAGTCCAGCGTTTATGGTTAAGCTGAGCTGAGTTATTCTTCTGGAAAATATCACTTCCGTCGAAAAATCTGTTTATGCAATTCCCTTTTGATGGTAATTCCGTGATTGTTGTCGTTCATATGGTTTGTTTAATTTCAGTTTTTGGTAGTGTCTCATTATTTGCCGTAATTGGAGAAACCGGGCAAATCAAAAGTTTTTTAAAAAAATAATTGCACATGTGGCTGCTGAGGTGGCTGCTGAGGTGGCAGCACCAGAAGAGAGAAAATCTATCTTTATATATATAGATTATAATTGTAACATGGATTAGTAAAATAATATAAAGTTTCTGATTTTGAATTATTTATTACAAAAAAAAGAATTATAACTTTTGAATGTAAAATACTAAATTAGAAAAATATAACGTGTAAAAAAAATAAAATATACAAAATAAAAGTAATTAAGTAAACTATAAAAAAATATAGGGTTTAATGCAAATAAACCCAGAACCTTTATTTTTTTTTGCAAAAAACTCATGAACCCGCAAAAATGCAAGTTAATCACTCTATCCATGAAGCCACCCGCTAAACAACCCAAACCCATTTCGATGATGTGGCATAGCGAGATTTTGTTTAAAAAACAAACAGAAGTCAAAACTCTGCGTTTAAGCAATTGTAAAACGACATGTTGTTTTTATTATTTGTGTTGCTGTTTTTTACATTCTAAAACGACATAGTGTTGTTCATTATGATAACACTTAGTTAAATTGGGGAAAATGTGAAAATAGGGTTTGAGTGAAATAGATTTTGGGGAAATTGAGTTAGGGAAACTCGATGATTTCAGAAAAATGGAATTGATTTCTGTCCTTGTTTGTTACTACGGATTCTAAATCGTTTCTAATCGGTAGAACTCTCAATAGATTGAGACCTGCAATTTCTCTGCAATTATTTTCTATTCTACCCAAATAGAAAAGATTTATCAATTATAAGAACTTGTAACAAGGTTTTGATTTCTGGTTCTGCGAAACTTGAAATTTGATACAGATTTGAATTGAGATTTGATTAAAACCTTAAGAAGTCTGACTAAACTGGTGATTTTGAGGGATTGAGACATACTTGCTGATTTCAATTTGATTTAATCGCTATTGAGAAGTCTGATTTTTAAACTGGTGCAACAAAACCTGCAACTTTGTTTGGGAGAATTAGTTTTATAATGCTAATTGATTTGGAAAAAATCCCCAATTGAAACCCTAATTTCCCAATTCGCGAAGAACACACAATCGTTATCTCAATCCCTCAAAATTTCGAATCCCAAATCTCAGTCCTGACTAAACGACAGATATGTCTCATTTCAGTTTAATGATTTTGATAGATTAATGGGTCTATGTTCTTTTGAATTTCAATTTGGATTTCTGGGTTTCACTCTCCAAGTGTTGTTGCTCACTCTCATTTTCGTCGATTTTGTTGTTGTTAGTTGTCTTTTCTCTGCAATGTCAATAGTGGAGTGGCATAATGTGCCCGATTTTAAAGAGAATTTACCTCCACGTGAAGATGCCGATGGTGAGGATGGAAGGGAGCATCGAGATGTAGACTCTGATGGTGAGGATCGAAGGGAGCCTCGAGATGTAGACTTTGATGGTGAGGATCAAAGGGAGCGTCGTGAGTTCGACATTCAGGAAGCTATATCTCAGTTTCGCGATGAGCCGCCTGTGATGCACAATGTATATCCGGATACAGATGATGATGAGGAGCAACAAAGAGCTAGAAGGCGCAACAACATCAGAAGAGGCGACAGTAACTTGTACTTGGATAAAGTCTTCATCAGCGGTATAGCTTTTAAAGAGGCCGTACTCAAGTACGCTCTGAAAACTGGTAGAAATATTAGGCTGACGAGGTGGGACAAAACGAAGATAGGGTTTATCTGTAATGGTAAAGGGTGTTCATGGCATGTGTTTTGCTCACTTGGATCTATGAATAAGTGGCAGATATCAATCTTTCAGGTGCAGCATACTTGTGTACCTAATGGCACTTGTACGATGATTAAGGTTCCTCAAATTGCCTGTTTGTTCATCGACAAGATTCGTGAAGAGCCAACCTACTTTATGCCGATGAAGATTGAAGAAATGATCATGAAGAAATGGGGAATATCTGTGACAAGAGCTCAATGACAGCATGGTAGGACTAAAGCTCTGAGGTGGATTGATAGAGAGTATGCTGAGCAGTTTTCACGTCTCCGTGATTACAAAGCTGAGATAGAGGTTTCAAACCCTGGATCTTCGGTGGAGGTTGATTGTATCACAAATGAGAAAGGAGAACATGTCTTCTAAAGGTTTTACGTCTGTTTTGCTAACCTTAGACGGTCTTGGAAAGAATATTGTAGGCCTCTTATAGGAGTTGATGGGTGCTTTTTGAAAACCATTCAAAAAGGAGAGTTATTTGTTGCTAATGGTCGAGATGCAGAGAATAAAATCTATCCAATAGCATGGGCAGTCGTACAGAAAGGAATACGGATAATTGGCTGTGTTCTTCAGAAGATCAAGAAAGATTTGGACTTAGGAGATGAAGATGGATACGTTTTAGTGTCTGATCGTCAAAAGGTAACACTTATGAAGCTATCTTGTATTTTTTTATGTCTGATCATTGCTTATTTGTTTAGTGTCTGATCATTGCTTATTTGATTTCACTTCACGTTATATGTAGAGCTTGCTAAATGCTGTTAAGACAGAGTTGTCTGGGATTGAGCATAGAATGTGTGTTAGACACATCTACATGAATTTGAAGAAAGGGTATAAAGGGTTACCGGAGCTTAAGGGTTTAATTTGGCATCTTGCTTGGAGCTACAATGAGATAGATTACAAAGAAAACCTGGAGGCAGTATGATGTCTCTCTTTATAGGGATTTGATGAAAACAAAACCATAAACATGGTGTAAGGCATTCTACAAGTTAGGACCATATTGTGAGGATGTGGAAAATAACTCTGTGGAGTCATTCAACAATTCTATAGATATGTTTGCTTCTGAATGTGTGTGATGAAATGTTTATGTTCTGAAATGTCTTTGTTTATAAGAAGGCTCATTGTTTTTCAGGTAAAGCCAGAGAGAAGGCTCTAGTCCCAATGCTAGAGACCATTGCAAGACTTGCAATGGTTCACATAACCAAAAGAGATGTCAAAGCAAGTAACCACAAAGGCATTTGCACTCCATATGTGAGTAAATACTTGGCGGATTTGCATGAGAAAGCGTCAGAGTGCATTGTGAGGCCATCCACAAACAAGATGTATGACTCCCAAATCTGTGGGTGTACTTATCGAGTCAGCTTGGGGAATAGAACCTGTACATGTAGAAGATGGGAAATCACCGGCATTCCTTGTGAACATGCATACTGCGTGATAATAAAGAAGGGAATAGAAGCTCAGGACTTTGTTTGTCACTGGTTTAGGACCACCAAGTGGAGGAGCATCTACACAGACGGCCTTGTTCCAATAAGAGGCGCAAAGTTCTGGCCAGTTGGAGATGAGCCGCGAATAGTTCAGCCTGTCATTCCAGACATGCCTGGCTGACAGAAGGTTACTAAGGCTGATAAAAAAAGAAAGAGAGGAGTTAATGAATCACCAAAGAAGAAGAAAGACAAAGTGTTGAAGAGGACAATGCATTGTCGTCTTTGCGGTAAAGAGGGTCATAACTCACGTTTTCATAAGAAGAAACCGAATCAGGTTTGTCTATCCTTATTTACTTCAAAAATGTATTGTCCTTTGCTTTCTTTGTCTAATGTAATCAGGTAATCTCTCTTTTTCTCTGCTTTCTTAAGGATTTTCTAGGTGAAGCATCATCCTCTCAGGTTGAATCTTCACAAGGAGTTCTCACACAGCTGAGGATTGAAGATGCGGATTGAAGATAGGCTGCTTTTGGCGGATTGAAGATAGGCTGCTTTTGGTGGATTTTTAGGCTGCTTGTGGACATCTTTTATCATGATTTTAGGACCTTTTTTGCTATCTATCTTTATACTGAATTGCGGATTTGTAGGATCTGTTTCATTTGCTTCAGTGTTTTTTTGAGGATCAGAGATGAACCATGTTTTTATTTATTTTGTATTGATACGGTTCTTGTAATGGTCAGACACAAACCCTGTTTTCCGATGATCAAACAAGATGCAGGTTTTTAATTACAGCTCCCTCTTGAGTAATGTTCAGACATGTTCAATAACATAACACCAAAGATCCAATAACATAGGTTTCATTTGTCCACAAACACAACACAATCAGTTACCTAAAACAAAGCATAAGACCATACAAAACACAGCAATATGGTCCGAAGATTCAACAAGCACAAAACAATCCCCAAACAATGATCTATCCTACAAGTTTACTACAAACTACAATGATCAAACACCCTAAACCCACAAAGAAAAACATTTTCTTCATCTCGGCTTTGGCTTCAACAAGAACTTCTTCCACTTTTTCGAGAATGTCTTTCTCCAACTTAACCTCCAGCTTCTCAAACATTTTTTTCTTATCATCCATAGAAACTGACAAAAGCTCTTTCACCTCTTGTTCAAGTCTTCCAGTTCTAAGCACCAAAGCCTCAATCTCATTCAAAAGAGCCTCATCAATTGAAAATGTGGTTGTCATTGATAAGCTACAACAATTCAGAACAACAACTATCTATCATCATCTGCATCACCAGATATTAACCAATGCCAAATAAAGAAAGAACAGTTTACCTTCTGTTACACAGCAAATGCACACCGGTAATATCTTCGATAAGGATTACCGTCGGATTTTGAAATTTTGGGCACAATAACTTCCCCACACCAGCATCGCTTTGGCACACCACCCACAAATCGACCTATACCTCGAACAGCTGATGTTCCACTTGAAGCTCCTGACATATCGCTCATCATAAAAATCGCCTTTTGTTTACGAATTTGAAAAAAAAATTCTAGGGTTCATCGTGTGGAAATTCGGGATTTTATCGCTTTAGGTCGGGTTTGAGCCAGGTCGGATTTCTCGACAGTCGGGTTTTGAAACAATTCGGATTTGACTTTGGTCGGGTTTTAAATGTGGTCTGTACTCCAGTATAGTTGGTTTTACTGGTTTCGTTTTCAGGTTTATTTTGCAGACCCACGAAATCGTGATTAAAGTGTAAATAGGTTGTCAAACTTTCGGATATGGGGAAATAAGTCGAGTTTGAAACATTGGGTGGTTCTGCAACTATGTCAAAGTTCTCGTGTGGAAATACGTCGTTTCCCCTTTTTTTATTGCAACGAAACTTGCAATTTTTATTTCAACGAAACCTCTAATTTCATTTCATCCGAAACCTGCAATTTTCGATTTGGCTTTCGCAAACCAAGGCTTAGTTTATAGCTTGGTTTAGGAACGTTCTCCTCTTAATTATCAAAAGTGCATTCTGCTATCAGTTGATTAAAATATTATTTAATCTTATCTTTTTTGTTTTGGGACACGTGTTTCATCTGGAACAAGATTTGTTCTTTGTTATTTATAATTAAAACGCTGTGTTTTCCAAACCATCATCGATATAAAGATGATTTTACGGAGGAACTGTTTAGCAGATGACTTCGTAAGTGAAGTAATTGACTTGCATTTTTGCGAGCTCATGGATTTTCTTGCAAAAAAAAATAAAATAAAGATGTTGGGTTTATTTGCATTAAACCCTAAAACCTATATAAGACAAGTTCGATTTGTATATTGATTATTGTTTGAAAATATATATATATATATTAATTCTTGAGTTTATATTTACAGAATATAATACTTCCTATATTTTTTTTTTTGATAAAAAAACACTTCTTAATTAGTAGCACTTTTTCACTTAAAGTGTTGGTGTATAGACTAAAACATTTTCAGGTTAAATTGATGTATACTAACCCATACGGATTCTTCTTTCAGGCAAACTGATTTTCTGGTGTAATTGATTTTCTTGTTACCAATTAAAAATATAAATAAAAAACAAAAAAAAGAAAAGAAGACCAAGCAGCTCTTTCTCTCAAATCTGTTTCATAATCTCTTCTCTGACATGAATATGCTGCTCGAATACAATTTGTTAGTTGGATCCAAACCTCTCCTGTTATTTCCTTCTTGACCAGTCCACAGAAGAGATTTTCCCATGTTTTTATGCCAGTTGCCTTTATTTTTTTTTTTTTACTGAATGAATCAATTAATATATTTACTTCTCTCATTTTGTTTAATCTCCCAACATTAGTATATATCATCTCTCGTGGCTCACTTGCCGACAACAATGTTCCTCTAGTTCAGTGAAATATTGAAGACTAAAGAGATGACATTATTGAATAAAATAAACATATATCTTTATATAATTTAAAACATATAATGGAGGCAAAAAAGTGTAAAGAAATGCAGATAAGCAATCTAATTTAAGATGTTTAGGGTTTTTTTTTCTTCATGAACCTAACCATAGACACTAAAGAATACAAAAGGCAAACATTTACATAAGAGTCGTTTACACCTCATATCACTTTCTAAGTTTTAATTACATTCTATATCACTTTTTGCTACCTTAACATTTTCTTACCTTTTTTATTGGCAAAATAACAGTAAAGACGCTCCACTAAACTCTCCATTAGTAAACCGGTTTTGAATAATTTTTTTAAACCATAACTTGTTTAATCCTGTAATGTAATTGTTGGACAACTGAACTGATATCAGAATTCAAAAACTTAAACGCGGAGCACCGAGATAGAACCACATCATGTTTTCAGCTGAAAGTAAAACTTTGCCGCCCAAGCATCACCGTTTAGTTTTGGAGTCGCCGTCAAGTTTATTTTTGGAGTCACCGTCACGTTTCAAGGTTTCCGACATATCAACCTAGATAGTAGCCTGTTGGAGGGAGCAGTAGTTTCATTGGCGAAAGTTTTCCGACATGTCTGGTAAGAATCATTATATACCTTAAACAAAGGTCTTATTAAGTATTTAAACGCACAATGTAATCTTTGTGTGTTTATTCCTAGTTGCAGAAGATAGCGATTTTGTTTACGAGAACAGTAGTTTTGATGTCGGCCTTCCTCCCCGTCTATTTGCTACTGATAGATTCCGACTTGCCAGCTAAAAATTTACTCAAACCAGTTGCCTTTTTTTTACTGAATGAATCAATTAATATATTTACTTCTCTCATTTTGTTTAATCTCCCAACATTAGTATATATCATCTCTCGTGGCTCACTGGCCGACAACAATGTTCCTCTAGTTCAGTGAAAAATATTGAAGACTAGAGAAAATATTATTGAATAAAATAAACATATATCTTTATATAATTTAAAACATATAATGGAGGCAAAAAAGTGTAAATAAAATGCAGATAAGCAACCTAATTTAAGATGTTTAGGGTTGTTTCTTCTTGATGAACCTAACCATAGACACTAAAGAATACAAAAGGCAACCATTTACATAAGAGTTGTTTAAACCTCATATCACTTTCTAAGTTTTAATTACACTCTATATCACTTTTTGCAACCCTAACATTTTCTTACCTTTTTATTGGTAAATGACAGTAAAGACGCTCTACTAAAATCTGCATTAGTAAACCGGTTTTGAATAAATTTTTTAAAACCATAGCTGGTTTAATCCTTTAATGTTATTGTTGGACAACTGAACTGATATCAGAATTCAAAAACTTAAACGGCAGAGCACCGAGATAAGCACAGCTTGTTTTCAACTGAAAGTAAAACTTTGCCGCCCAAGCATCACCGTTTAGTTTTGGAGTCGCCATTGTTGATCCTGGAGATCACTAAGTATGCTTAATAGATTATGAGAATGATTAGAGATGATTTCGGGGTGAGATTTTCGTATAATAAGAGTGATTTAGTTAAAGGGAAAAAGAAAGTGTCAGCTCGGAAACGTAAGGGATGTTTGCAATGAGATAACAACTGATGTTTTGAACTAAGTCTGGAGTTGATCCAGTTTGGTGCTTTTTATTTTGTTGCAGCGAGCTCGGTTGAGAGACAAGTGTATTAAAGTAGAGAGAGAGAGTAATAATTTTCGGATCCCCTCATAAATGATCTACGAGGAGTATTTATAGCGGGAGTTGGGAGACGAGTTTACTCCAAATCGGGGCGACGTGGCAGCTTCAGCGCATCTCGCGGGTATGGCGTCTGGAGCCGCACGTCCGAACCACTCCGCGGCGTGTGATGATGGTCCTTCGCCGAGCTACTTGCGTGCTTAGGTCAATGTAGACGAACTGCCCTTACACGTGTCAGGTTCTGCTCGGCTCCGCGCACTGTAGATCGGCGTCGCAATGATAACGATTTGGCGGGACCATGCTGACCGGGCTTGTTGACTTTGACTGGGTTTCTGTTGACTTAGTCTGTGTATGAGAGGTTGTCAAATGCACCGGACTCGTGGTGTTGATTAGCTCGGCCCGTCTCAGGTCGGTATTAAGTGGGTTTTAGGGCGAACTCCCTCGTGCTTTAGTATAGGCGGGAAAAGGATGAGGGTTTCCCGCGGAAAACCCCTGAGCTCCCGCGCGTGACCGGCACGCGGGGACATGAAGGGACGTTTATTGCTGCTTTTTATTTCTGCGTGTCTCGAGGAGGGTACCGAAGCGGCGTCATCATTAGGGTTTTGCCAAGTATCGATCATCCCTCCGATTGATCACTTTTCCCTTCTACTTAAATGCTCTTCCCTTTTTCTTCTTTTCACTTTTGCTTTCACGTGGAAAACACAAACGAGGAATTATACGAAACATTTCTCCTCTTTGCTCCTTCGATTTCGTTCTTCTTCATTCTCTTTTCCGTTTTCGATTCTTCGCATTCCGTGATGGCAGACATCTTTGATGGGATTTCGGCCGAGTCTCAGACCGAATCTGGGTCTCGTGAGGAGCGTGACGAGATGCTTCCGGAAAGCTCTTCGCCGGCGCCGAGTTCTGAGCATACGGATTCCCCTTCCCGCGCGGAAGATGAGGGGGATGATCTTCCGATCGTCCACCGGGCTAAAGGGAAGGCGCCCCAGACCGGGCCATCGAGAGGCGGTGGTAGGCGGCGAGGCGAGCCCGGTGGTTGAGGTGGTGATCCGATTTCGCGACCTCGGAAATCCAAAGTCTCGAAGACTCCTCGGATTTCTTATGCGGACGGGGGGTCGACGACCTGGAGTAATTCGGAGTCCGTATCGGCGATGATTTCTGGGTGCGGGTTTCCTTCAGACGTCGAAATCCGGATTCCTGCCGAGGATGATCGTCCTTGGCGTCCTCCGACCGGCTTTGTATGCATGTGTGAGGCTTATTTTACGAAGTGCGGGCTGCGCTTTCCTCTTCCCGACCTGTTTGTCTCGTACTGTCGGTGAAGGGATTTGGCGTTTTCGCAGATCTGCCCGACAACGGTGCAGAATATGATTGTGTTGGTGACTCTGGGGTCGGAGGCTGGTGTCAATGTGACGCTCGACCTTTTCGAGGATATTACCAATCATAAGAACAACCCTGCCATTTCGGGTTCTTATTACGCTTCCTTCAGGCCGGGGTTGAATATCACTTCGGACAAGCCGAGCAAGGTTGGCGATTGGGACCGGAGTTATTTTTTCGTGCGGGCTAATGAAGCTGCCGGTCTCGTTCCGGGCCGGAAGTACCGATCTGATTGGAATTTTTCTCCTGGTAAGTTGCCGAAGTGAACATTGTTGACCGGACTGGCGCATTTTCCTTATTCTGTTTTTTTTTTTTGTAGTTTCGCACCGAGACGGAGTCAAAGTAGGGGACTACGAGCCGCTCCTTGATAAGCTTAGGTCGGTGGAGAGACGCAGGTGGGCGGATTTTTCTGCCGAATGGGTGGCGGTGGCGTTCGCGACGATGGCGTCGGGTAAAGGCCTAACCCTTTCCTCTTTTTTTTTTTTTTTTTTTTTTTTTTTTTTTTTATGAATGGGACTATGTTGCAGGCCGCCCGCGGAATTTTTCTTCAGCCAGTGCTACGTCCTCGACGGCACCGAGGAGGCCGGTTGGTCCGCCGGCGTCGGGTGAGACTCGGTCGAGGCAGGGCGTTGGGACCGCGCCGTCTTCAGCTCGGACGAGGCCGATCGCGCCCCAAGAAGCATCTGTTAGGAGGACGAAGTCGGGCGCTGTAGCGGGTGCGTCTTCATCTGTGCCGAGACCGGGCCCTGCGGCGAGGTCGTCCGCTCCGACCCCACGGTCGATGCCGGTTCCGTTAGCTCCGCTGTCGGCTCCGTTGCCTACTCCACCCGCATCTTCACCGATGTCGACCCCTGCTTTGAGGCCTGGTGAGTTACCGATTTTTTTTTTTTTTTTTTTTTTTTTTTTTTTTTTTTAGCTGGTTACTACGGTGTTGTGGGGTTGACGCGTTATTCTCAGGTCGCTCCCGCTTCACAATTCCTTCGTACGCGGCTACGTTTATTCCCACGCCGACCGTCCCGAATTCTGGTGCTTCCGTCGATGAGGAGGCGGAGAACGTTCCTGCGTTGAGGAGGAGGACGGCTGCCGAGAGGGAAAGGGAAGACGGCGTCGTTCCGGATGAGGCATCGAAGAGACGGAGGACGGGGGATGCGGAAGACGCGACGTCCGAGCCGGGGCCGATGCAGCCTGGTGAACAGGAAGGTGGGGTCCCTGAATCTCAAGGGGCTGATCTTCCGGAAGGTAGAGGGGAGCAGGGCGTCGAGGGTACCGCGGTGACCGACCTCGCGGCGGAAGAAAGGGAGGGCGGTGGCGACGGTACTCGGGGTCAACAAGGTCGGGACGATGTTGGTCCCGAGGGCGGGGATGCCGAGATGGACAGGAACGATCTGCCCGGTGGGGGTGATAGTGAGATTGTTTCTCAACCTCATGAGGGTGGGGAGGGCGAGGGTCGGAGGGAGGCAGGGGAGACCGGAGCGCGGGCACCCGGGATGCCCACCAATGAACCGGGTCTGCAGGAGGATAACCGCTTCGACTTTAGCTACCGCGAAGCAGGTCGGAGCATCCACTGCGATAAGCGTCAGTGCGCCGATCTTATCTATGCAGCGTCACATGGGAGGCAGGAACCGTACCGCTCCGTGGAGGACTTGGCTGTATCCGCGAACTTCCAGATCGCTTCGCGGGATTTGATTCGGGTAAGTTCGGGATCTCGCAACTGTATTATTTGTGTTATTCCAGATGATTGAATATATGTATTCTGTGCAGGCCGGGGCTTGTCTGACCGCCATATGCGAGGGCTATGAGAAGCGGCTCGACGATGCTCAAGAAGAGATCGTCAGGTCGGCAAACTAAGTGGTGACTCTCGAGCAGGAGCAGTCCTTGGCGGGGGAGAGGATTCGGGCGCTAGAGCGGGAGCTGGCAGAAGAGAGAGCGCACTCCGCCGCGCTAAGGGGGACCTCGGTTGAGGTGGGAAGACTCCGATCTGACCTAGAGCAGGAGCAAGCGAAATCGAGGGGGTTGGAGGAGCAGATCTCTATCGCGTCCGAGGCGGCAAGGGAGACGACCGTACAACGGGATACGCTACGGTCCGAGCTCGATGCGGAGAGGGTGAAGTCCGCCGATCTCGAGGCGCGGGTGACCAGTTCGTCTGACGTGATCAGGATACTCTCTTCGGAGAGGGATCATCATAAGGCTGAGTCTTTGCGGGTATCGGATATGTACATCCGGTTACACGGGAAGGTTAAGGCTGCCCAGGATCATCTCGCCAAGGAGAATGCGCGCATCGCGAATGCGCAAGCGGATAGGAAGCGTAAGTGGCAGGCGAAGATGATCAAGATCCGAGCTCATTTGTCAGGTCGGGAGAAGGAGTCGCCGGTACAGCTTCTTCTGAGCCAGGTGGTGGGGACGCACGAGTGCCTCATGAGGCTTAAGGATGTATATGGATTGACACCGCCTCCGGGAGTCCTAGAGAAGCTGAAGAGTGACGAGGCCGACTTTAGAGCCCAGCTTGAGAGGATTGACTATCCCGATCTTACTCCGGACGATCTCTGCCTCCCAAATGATGCCCCTCTGGTGATTCGTGCTGAGGCTGCTCTGCCCATATATGTGGTAGAGAGGACCGGTGCCGAGCAGACATCAGCTGTTCCCGAGGCGGCGTCGACTTCGTCTTCGGTGCCTGGCCAAGGCGTGGAGCCTCCCGTGCTGGACTCCTCGAACCCTGATCCGTCCTCAGGAGGGAGAGGTGGAGCGGCGGAATCGACCCGGCCTTTTCGCGGTCAGTTCGGGACGAACGCGCGGATGCTGAGCCCGGAGGATGCTAGGAACCTGCGTACCGATGAAGCTTGAGCTCTCTCCCCCCCCCTTTTGTTTTTTTTTTTTTTTTTTTGGGTTGTAGGCCGAAGTGCCAAGATTCTGATGTAGGCCTCGTGCCGTTTGTACATAGAAATTCAATGGAAAATTTTTCTGTTCAATGCGAAATTGAGTTCGGCTTATATGTCAGAGAATGTGTTGAGTGCGAGTAGCTAGCTCGGCTGAAAACACTTATAGGTTGTGTGTTGCGCGATGCAGATCGGAATCTGGCTAAAGACACTTAATAGTTTGTGTGTCTATAGATGCGAGTCGAAACTCGGCTGAAACACTTTCTTGGTTTGTGTGTTTAGAGATGCGAGTAAGGACTCGGCTATATATGAGCTCGGAAGCTGATTTTTAGAGAAATATTTTTTTTATTAATAATAGCTGTGCCCGGGTTGGGCTGCCTACGTACCCTTCCGAGGAAGGGATCAAGCCAGTCGTAGTTCGGTTATTTTTACATTGGTAGGTTTGGATTTTCGAGGACGGGAGCTTAATGCCGAGATGGGCTTAGTAGTAGAATCGCTTGAGATTGGCCGCGTTCCATGAGCGCGGGATTGCGTCGCCTGCCATTGTGACGAGCTCGTACACTCCGGGCTTGACGATTTTTGCGATGAGGTAGGGGCCTTCCCAGCTGGCTCCGAGCTTGCCCGCGTTTAATTCCGCTGTGTTTTCGAACACTTTTCGCAAAACTAGGTCACCTTCTGTGAAGAATCTGCCTTTGACCTTTTTGTTGTAATACTTGGAGGCGAGCTGCTGGTAATTTTGCATGCGAAGCAAGGATTGGTCGCGGTCCTCCTCGGCGAAGTCGAGCTCGCTGCGGATCATGTTGCTGTTGAGGTCGGGGTCTTGTGTGAGCATCGAGCGGCGGATTGTGGGGAGTCCGACCTTCGAGGGGGCCATTGCTTCCATGCCGTGCGAAAGACTGAATGGAGTTCGTCCTGTTGCGCGCCGAGGTGTGGTTCGATGAGACCAAAGGACTCCATCGAGCTCGTCTGCCCAGAGACCCTTTTTTTCGTCTAGCCGTTTTTTGAGGCCGTCTAAGATTGTTTTGTTCGTTGCTTCGGCCTGCCCGTTTCCTTGTGGGTACCTCGGGGTTGACTTGCTCAGCCTGATCTTCCATTTTGCACAGAAGTCTTCGAAAATGATCGACGTGAACTGGGCGCCGTTATCCGTGACGATCTCGTAGGGCAGACCGTGGCGACAGATGATGAACTTCCATACGAACTTGCGGACGTCCTCGGCGGTGATCCGGGCGTAGGATTCGGCTTCGACCCATTTGGTGAAGTAGTCCGTCATGACGAGGAGGAAACGCTTTTGGCGGGATCTAGGCAGCGGTCCCACGATGTCCATGGCTCAACGCATGAATGGGTAGGGCGGTGATGCCGTGGTGAGTAGCTCGGTGGGAGAATGGATCATGGGGCCGTGGCGTTGGCATTTTTCGCACCGGGCTGCGAACTTGTTGCAGTCCTCGACCATTGTTGGCCAGTAATGTCCTTGGTTACGGATCCAGAGTGCGAGAGTTCGGCCGGTACAGTGGCTTCCTCCAGCGCCTTCGTGCATTTCCTTCATGACGTCGATTGTTTTGTCTCCGTGGAGACAGCTGAGCAGGGCGCCGGTTTCGCTCCATCGAAATAGGTTTCCGTCGAACTGGAAATACTTGGCGGCTTTCTTTTTTGATCTCCGAGCTGCCCAGCGGTCGTCAGGGACCGTCCCGCTGATGATATATGACAGGATGTCAGGTCGCCAATCTGGTTTGACGGGCTTGGGCGGGGGAGGTGGCAGGTTCTCACCGTCCTGGACATCCTGCTCTTCGATTGGGTCACCGGCGAGGAAATCGTTGATGAGGCAGATCCCCTTCGGGAGCTCTATGCTGGGGGAATCGATGCTCTCCACGGGGATTACTCGGCGCTGAGTGGGATCCGAGGTGGAGGCCAGAGCGGCTAGGGCGTCTGCAGAAGTATTATCCCCTCGGGGGATCTTGGTGAGATGAAATTCGGAGAACTCGGAGGCCAGGTCTTGGACAACCTTAAGATAGGCTTCCATGCGGTCGTTCTTGGTTTCATACTCGCCACTGAATTGGTTTGCGACGAGCTGGGAGTCGCAGTACGCTTGGATTTTCTTGACCCCGATCTCCTTTGCCAGTCGCAGGCCGGCTATCAGGGCCTCGTACTCCGCCTCGTTATTCGATGCCTGGAATGCTAAGCGGAATGACTGCTCTATCACCTCGTGGGTCGGTGATTCCAAGCAGATGCCGACGCCAGAGCCATGCTTTGAGGCCGAACCATCGACGTGAAGGCTCCATTTCTCATCGGGTGCTTCGCCGGTTAGCTCGGGAGCGAGTTCGACGAGGAAATCTGCCAATACTTGGGACTTCGCAGCGGTCCGTCCTCGATAGTCGATGTCGTATTCGCTGAGCTCTACCGCCCACTTCGCCATCCTACCCGACTGGCTCGGGCTGTGAAGGATTGTCCGCAGAGGATGTGTGGTTAGGACGGCGACAGTGTGAGATTGGAAGTAGAGGCGGAGCTTCTGGGCTGCTGTTACGACGGCCAACGCCAGTTTCTCCATGGTCGGGTACCTGCTCTCGGCTCCGTCCAGGGATTTAGAGACGTAGAAAACCGGCTTTTGCTCTCCTCGGTCCTCTCGAACCAGGACACCGCTTACAGCCGAGGTGGACACGGCGATGTACAGGTACAAGGTTTCTCCGTCTTCGGGCTTGGCCAGGACGGGCGGAGTTGAGAGGTATTCTTTCAATTGCTGAAACGCCAGCTCGCACTTGTCGTCCCATTCGAACTTTTTGTTTCCTCGGAGTAGTTGATAGAAGGGGAGACATTTATCGGTGGATCGCGAGATAAATCGATTGAGGGCGGCAATTCTTCCGGTGAGACGCTGGACTTTGCGGGTACTTTTTGGTGACTGCAGTTCGAGGACGGCTTGGATTTGCTTCGGGTTTGCCTCTATCCCGCGCTGGGTGACCACGTAACCAAGAAATTCTCCCGAGGTGACACCGAAAGTGCACTTCACGGGGTTGAGCTTCATGCCGTACTCGTTCAGAGTTTTGAAACACGTTTTTAGATGATCGACGTGATCATCCGCCACCATGGATTTGACGAGCATGTCGTCTATGTACACCTCCATTGTGCGTCCGAGCTGGTCGGCGAACATCTTGTTCACGAGGCGCTGATAGGTGGCTCCGGCCTTTTTGAGCCCAAACGGCATGACCTTCTAGCAGTAGGTTCCGCGGTCCGTGATGAATGCCGTCTTCTCCCTATCGTCGGGGTGCATGAAGATTTGATTGTAGCCCGAGAAGGCGTCCATGAAAGAGAGCAGCTCGTTCCCCGCAGTCGCCTCGACGACCTGGTCGATTCTTGGAAGGGGGAAGCAGTCCTTCGGGCAGGCCTTGTTGAGGTCGGTGAAGTCCACGCAGACTCTCCACTTGCCGTTTTTCTTTTTTACCACGACCGGGTTTGCGAGCCAATCCGGATATTTCACCTCGGTGATTTGCCCGACCGCCGTTAACCTATCCACCTCGTCATTCACGGCTTGAGCGCGCTCGGCGCCTAACTTTCGCCTCTTCTGCTTGATAGGCCGGAAGGTCGGGTCGACATTAAGTTCGTGGCTGCATATGGCCGGGTTGATGCCGGGCATGTCGCTGGTTGACCAGGCGAAGCTCGAGACGTTCTGCTTGAGGAACCCGATGAGCTTGGTCTTGATGCTTTCTTTTAGGTCGGCTCCGATGCCGACGCAGCGGTCGCTGTGACCGGGGTCGATGTTGACCTGGACAACGAGATCTCGGAGAGGACAATCTGCTTGGCTCGGTTCCCCTAGGAGCTCGGGTCCTACGATGTTGCAGGCAGGGACTCCGTTGCGGCTTACTGTGGCGCAGAGCTGAGTGCGGGCGGCGTTGCGGAGCTTATGCTCGATAATGAAGCATGAGCGCGAGATCCTTTGGTCGCTCCGGACTGTGAATGTGCCGGCCTGGTTGGGGAACTTGAGGCACTGGTGGTAGGTCGAGGTGACCGCCTTCATCGAATGCAGCCAAGGAGTACCGAGGATGATGTTGTATATGGCTGGACGGTCGACGACGGTGAATTTGACTATTTTTGTCACCCGACCTACGTAGACCGGCAGCTTGATTGTCCCTATCGATGTGATTGTATCTCCTACGAAGCCGGTCAGGGGAGTGAGGGTTGGCTTCATCTCCACGCCGTGTAGGTCCATCTTCTCGAGGGCTTCTTTGAAGATGAGATCTACCAAGCTGCCCGTATCGACAAGGACCCGAGTCACGTCGCAATCTGCTACGCGAATTTGGATGACGAGGGGGTCGTTGTGAGGTTGGTCGACTCCCTCGGCGTCTTCCTCGAAAAACGTTATTTCCCTACCGCTTGTGTCTTGAGCGTTGGTTGCTCTGATCTTTGCCACCCACATCTCTGTCGGGGTGGACTTCCGCTCGTGGACTTTGATCGAGCGAACCGAGTCGTTGCAGGACAGGAGACCGCCCATGATCATTCCGATCATTGTCCGAGCCGGCGGTGGGGACGCCTGTCTCTGGGCGGTGAGGTGCGGCCTGCTGTTGCCGTTGTTGCTGGGCGGGCTGGACCCTATCGTTCTCGCGAGATGGGGAGCACTGGCGGCGATTATCTTGTTGAGCTCGGTTGTCTTGACGACGCCGGTTGTCATTACGACCTCGGCCGCGCGGCTGCTGCTGGTCGGGGACTCTAATTCCCCCCTTTTGGTACTGAGCGAGGAGAGCTTCCTGAAGTTTGCGGCACTGCTCGGTTGCGTGCCCCTTCAGTTGGTGATACTCGCAGAACGCCTGGTTGTCTCTGGTAGCAGGAGCGGCAGCTCGCTCTTGGATGACCTGAGCCGGGGGCGGCGACTGGACCGGCGGCGGTGCCTCGATGGTGCGATACCATTTGTTAGATGGGAGAGGCTGCTGGTAATACTGCTGCGATGAGCTGGGTTCGGCCATCCCAGGTCGGTTGTACTGCGTATCGACTTCACAGTGGGGGCTGTCTACGCGGAAGACGGCTGGAGCTTCTTCGACGGGACACGAGGTCGGCGCGTCGCTGATGAGAAAAGTTGCGGCCTGCCTGCCCTTACATTCCTCATCGTAGTGCTGGCGGGGTTCGTGGTATTCGTCCTGAGCCCTTTCCTTTTGAGGTGGATTTTTCTGGGAAGCGAGCTTCCTAAGACTTGCCCTCTCCTCCTCGACTTCGATATGCAGCCCGGCGCGGTGTAATGCGTCTTCCAGAGTATGCGGCGCGTTGAGCTTGAGTTCGTCCTTGAAAGCCGAGTCAAAGTGGAGGGCTTTCCTCAGGGCTGGGATGGCGGACTCGTCCGACACTGAGGCGCGGGAGGCCATCGCTTTGAAGCGTTCGATGAACGACCGGAGGGATTCTTTCGGTCCCTGGCTCAAGGCCCAGAAATCGGCAGTTGAAGCAAAACGCTGGATAAATATGGAGTAATGTTTGAGGAAAGCGGTCGAGAGCGCTTTGAAGCTATCGATCGAGTGCGTCTCCAGCCTGGAGAACCAAGTCAGGGCGGGGCCGACCAGGTTTTCCACGAAGAGTTGGCAGTGTCCGGCCTCCCGCTCTTCGGGCGTGAAGTGAGCTCGTCCCATGGCGATGGTGAATGCCGTTAGATACTGCGTGGGATCGGTATCTCTGGCGTAAGGTGGGAGCTTCACTTTGCTGACGTGGCGGAAAGGGGTGGAGGCGATTCGGTGCGTGAACGGTGTGTTTTGCGTCTCCTGCAGGACACGATCTATTTCTGGGGCCGAGCTCGTGGCTCGATGGACCTTGGAGTTCATTTCGCGAATTTTTGCCTTGATGGCCTCGATCTCTGCGTCGCGGTCTCGCTCTGTGGCCATGTGTCGGAACGCCTCCGGGCTGGAATGCTGAGGGCGCATTTCGGCCGAGCGATTTGCCAATTGGGTGGATCTCCGACTTGGTCCGGCTGACTCGGTTGGGGAGTCACCGAAGAGGTTCCTTTGCAAGAGTAGCACTTCTGAGCGGTGGGCTTCCTCGAGGTCGCGCTCAACCGAGGACCTGGGATTCTCTGGCTGGTTTGCGTGGGCTCCGTGCCCTGCCGTGAGCTCGGCGAACCTCCGGTCAGTTTGGCGGGTCATCTCGTCCATTCGGTCGAGCAAGGAATGGAGCAGAGGAGCCAGGGCGTGATCTCCGGCTGCCGGAGTGGTCCTTTCGGCTGGGACCTGCAGGGTGACATGTCTCGGACTCGCGGGTAATGCTATTGCCTCCGGGATTTGTTGGGGAGCGCTGCTTTCCAGTTCGGACTCCAAGGGGAGCGGCGGTGCTGGTAGCTGCGGTGCAGGCATTCCGGTCTCTGTTGGTACGGCGGCTTCCTTAGGGTTGACAACCGACGAGGGCGACGTGAGTGCTGCGGGTGTCGTGGTTGTCGACTTGACTGTCGCTGGTGATGATTTTGACATTCCTGATGTTGAGGGCGGTGTTCCTGCCATTTCCAAATCTTCCTTGTGCGTGTAGAAAATCTCTAAACTCCCCTCCTTCTAGCGCCAATTGTTGATCCTGGAGATCACTAAGTATGCTTAATAGATTATGAGAATGATTAGAGATGATTTCGGGGTGAGATTTTCGTATAATAAGAGTGATTTAGTTAAAGGGAAAAAGAAAGTGTCAGCTCGGAAACGTAAGGGATGTTTGCAATGAGATAACAACTGATGTTTCGAACTAAGTCTGGAGTTGATCCAGTTCGGTGCTTTTTATTTTGTTGCAGCGAGCTCGGTTGAGAGACAAGTGTATTAAAGTAGAGAGAGAGAGTAATAATTTTCGGATCCCCTCATAAATGATCTACGAGGAGTATTTATAGCGGGAGTTGGGAGACGAGTTTACTCCAAATCGGGGCGACGTGGCAGCTTCAGCGCATCTCGCGGGTATGGCGTCTGGAGCCGCACGTCCGAACCACTCCGCGGCGTGTGATGATGGTCCTTCGCCGAGCTACTTGCGTGCTTAGGTCACTGTAGACGAACTGCCCTTACACGTGTCAGGTTCTGCTCGGCTCCGTGCACTGTAGATCGGCGTCGCAATGATAACGATTTGGCGGGACCATGCTGACCGGGCTTGTTGACTTTGACTGGGTTTCTGTTGACTTAGTCTGTGGGCTTTATTGTCCAAGATGGGCCTAGCTAATTGGGGGTGCTAAGCCCACCTCCAACAGCCATCAATTTTTTTGTTGGAGTTGCCGTCAAGTTTTAAGATTTCCGACATATCAACCTAGATAGTAGCCTGTTGGAGGGAGCAGTAGTTGCGCTGGCAAAAGTTTTCCGACATGTCTGGTAAGAATCATTATGTACCTTTAATAAATTTATTATTAAGTATCTAAACGCACAATTTAATATTTGTGTATTTATTCCAAGTTACAGAAGATATCAATTTTGTTTACGAGAATAGTAGTTTTGATGTCGGCCTTCCTCCCCGTCTATTTGCTACTGATAGATTTCCGATTTGCCGGCTAAACATTTACTCAAAACCAGACATATTAGGCCTGTTCTTTTCTTTGCCGCTGCGGCTGCGACTGCGACAACGGAAAATAGTTACAATGAAGACAACAATTTGCCGCTGAATGACCGCAGGTGCTGTTGAAGTTGATCGCAGGTGTGCTCGCGACGTCTCTCGGTGGCCGCTGGAATTCCCAGCGTCACTTTTTAGATAAAGCGGTCACTACAGCGGCATCTCCTTTCTCTGACAGCACCTTCATTATCGTCGTTTTGTTTTCTTATTTGTTACGGCCACCGCCGTTTTATTCTGTCGCAGCCGCAGCCGCAGCGACAAAGAGAAGAACAGACCCATTGACGTTTTTACGAAAAGAGCTTAGAGACACACCAGAGTTAGAGCGTATTTTGGAATCCGACTTTGGGTGGCTGTTCTTGTTGCCGGAAAATTGGGCTCCAATTTCACGTTAGCTCATCCACGCTCTTCTGTCCATGCAATTGTTAACCAAACAGAAGTATGAGATGTGGATAGTGTATTGTGGAGAGCCATTAAGTTTTCGTTGTCTGAGTTCGAAAGCGTGACTGGGTTAAATGTAAGTTTGTATGAAGAAGGATATGAGCTTCCTGTAGCTGAAGTCATTCCGAAGAAACCTGATGAATACTGGAGAACGTGGATTGGAGATGATCTTAAAACTACCTGTGAAAATATTGCTAGTATGCTTAAGATGGATAATGAGATGTCCGGTGA